ATTAAATAATAATAAAAGAAGATATTACCTCAAAATCGTGAAAGATAATCTCAAGAACATTTCGGTAATTGTGTACATCTTCAACTTGTTGGAACATCCTAATTATGCGTAGCTTGATTGGTGGCTTATTGGATCTTTCGATATTCTTGATGACTCCAAAATTCAAAGGCATTTTGAATGGTGTGGTAATAGATTGTAGAAAAAATTGTATTAATGGGATGCGTATGATGTCGAATATCTGTTGTTGTTGGTGATGTTTATATAATCATGTGTATACCCCATACGCCATCACGGGGACTTTAAAAAAATTTATATATTGTACTAATCTTTTTATCTGATAGTACCCGATATTTTTGGTCGGGATATTATAGATATCCAGTCAAATTCGAAATTTAGTTACTTTCATTACTATTATGATGAGTTGGCTAGAATATATGAAAAATTTCGATGGAAAATATAATCTATAAATCCAAGATATGATGGCGATTTTCATATTTACACGGGGATTTATTCCTTTTTAAACAGGCAATTTCAATCATTATCTTGAAGATCTTGTTGTATTATGAAAAAAGAGATCATATAAAATCTCTCAGGATCCACTTACATTTGTTAAGAAAATCCAAACAAATTCTGATTTGAAAGATTAATTACTTACACACAATTTGAACGCGTGGGCCCACTTGTGTTACTTTACATATTCTCACGGAATCCTCATATATTGGTTAATAATTTCCAAACTAATTTTGAGAGGAATCCGGTAAAATTAGTTAAGAAAATCCGAACAAAATTTGAGGAGATACATATAACACCAACTTATGTTAAGTTTAACCAGCGGGACAAATATATAATGAATACCAATTGAAATCGCACAGATTCCGAATTTGTTGGTTCAGAAAATCGTAACTAAATTCGATAACTTTGGTAAGAAATGTTCGATTATGAAAATAGTGAACAAAAAAAAATCCCACAAAATTTGGTATCATTTCCTAACAGCACTAGTATGTACCCGTGCGATGCACGGTGGGCGCGTAATTTAAAACATATTAAAGTACTTATTTTAAATATAATTAATTCAATTTAACATCTATTTATAGAAACAAAAATTAAAAAAAAAAAAAAGAAATCATATATTATTAAAAACTTCTCTGTACACAACATTATTTGTTTGATTTGGGGGCAAATCATGTTCACCACATATTAGAATTTTCAGACCCCTTCTGTTGGTGACGCGCGAAACAGCAACATATAATTGGCCATGACTGAAAACTGGTTTCTTCAAGAATAAACCAACGTGAGATAAGGATTGACCCTGACTCTTGTTAATAGTCATTGCATAAGAGACCACGATAGGAAACTGCCTTCTTTGAAACTTAAAAGGTACTCTTGCATCGGAAGGAGTTATCGTCATTCGAGGTATCAACACTTTATCCCCTGCATGGTCGCCCGTAAGTATCCTACATTCTAGGACATGATTGGAGAGTCTTGTTACAACCAAACGTGTCCCGTTGCACAATCCCATAGAATGATCCATGTTCCGCAACAGCATAACCGGAGTTCCCACCTTCAGATGCAACTCATGATTTGGTGTACCAGAACACTTGAGAGAATTTAAGAACTCAGGAGTGTGGATTTCTGACAAGAAGTCAGAATCCAAATCGGATTTACACGTACTGTCGGAGCTCAAATATACACGACCTTCTGTTAGATTCAACGACGACATGTATTGGTTGATAGACTCAACGATCTCCAACGTAGGTGCAAGTATGGCTCTGTCCTTCAGATAACTTGGATCATCTGTTGCGTTCTTGAACATTGGATACGTGCTCTCAACAATTGCAGCAATGGGGTCATCGGATGGGTCTATTAATAGATCATCTGGTATTTCAATGGAGGCACAACCATCGTTAACACCTCCAATAGTACCATCTCCGATGCTAGCAATCCAATCAGCAAATTTAGAAAGCTCCTCACGTTCATCCGAATCATCAAGGCTCTGAAGACGCATGTTCTTCGTTAACCTAAGCACGGTACAATCTTGCCAAATGGTTGAAGCATTTATCGAAGCATTAACAATCTGTTGACGGTTCCCCTTTGGAATCACTGGTAGGATTTGTCGAAAATCTCCACCAAAAACAACAGTCTTGCCACCAAACGGTTTATAATGGTTCATCGGGTTGACCGTTCCCATGATCGCCTGAAATGACGTTTGAACAGCTTCGAAGCAATGCTTATGCATCATTGGAGCTTCGTCCCATATGATGAGGGAGGACCGTATAATTAGCTCTGCCAGAGGGCTAGCCTGGTTGATATCACAGGACGCATTTTCGTGAAGATTAATAGGTATGCCAAAGCGAGAGTGTGCAGTTCTTCCACCAGGCAACAGAAGAGAAGCTATTCCACTCGATGCAACACAAAGCACGATCTGACCCTTCGATCGCAATCCCGCAGCTAATGTTCTCCACAAGTACGTCTTACCGGTTCCGCCATAACCGTAGACAAAGAAAACACCGCCCTGACCTGAGTCTACCGCTGCCATAATTCTTGAATAAACTCCTTTCTGTTCGTCAGTCATATTTCTAAGAAGATTACTGTGCTCGACAGATAAGGCCTTGCGGTCATAATTTAGCTCATCCAAAATCAATCGATTTGTACTCGTAGTAACACCGGTCATATCAGGAAAAGGCATTGTTGGATATTCTCGAAGACTCGTACCGCGACGTCTCAACAAATGTTCAATTTCAGCGAGAGCTAAATTTTTTATATCTGCATCACTCAGCTGCAAACCTAAGAAGGAAAACAATTCAAAGTCAGAATTACAAAAAATCGACTATAGTACTTAAAAAGGAAATGAAAAATAATAAAATAAACAATAAAACATAAATAAAAATTAAGTCACATACTTTCATTATTGAAGAGAAGACGTTGTCTATAAACGATGTCATCAGAGAGAAAATCCAAACACTGTTCCCATACGTGCTCGGGTCTACCTAACGATCCAGAAACCAACAACGTTGCAAACATGCGTCTCAGAGAATCAGCAGATGCCCATTGACTTGCCTCAGATATGCCATCAACATACTCACGATCGTCACCCAACAAACCTAGAGCGTGGCAAGCATCACGATACGACGAATATTGAACGTTGGCTGCCTTCATATAATCCTCGTGGCATGTTGCTCCACGGGTTACATTAAGCATGCACCTCAAATAGAAATTATCGCCGGCGTTAGGAGGAACATAGCGCAGGCGGGCTATAGCGCCATCTCTGATTCGAGGGGTCCACTCTCTCAACGTCGTGTTCCAAACAAATTTCCTTGGTGCCTCAACATATGTGAGCTCCCTCGCCTCAGGATACTTCTTGTTCGCTTCCATCCATGCCAAAAATTGACTCTCATTTACAGTGGGTTTTTGAATAACCTCATCAATACGATCTTCATCCTCAAAAATAACGTACTGTTCGCCTTTCAAATGGAAACTCAAACGCTGTACAGGAGGTTTTTTGTACTGTAGTTCATAACCCAACAACCTCCAAGCCGCCTCACATGAAGAAACATATCTACAGTCGTAGAACATGTTAATCTCGTCAACAGGCTTATCCGGCTCTCCGTCTCCGGTCGCCTGATAAAACGATGCGGTGACACGATCATTGCCCTTATTGACATATTTGAAGAGGTACTTGATGGACCGGGATTGATTGCACCACTCAACATTTATGTGAGCACCATATTTCATCAACAATTTCCGATTGTGGGGCACGACAAAACCGTTATGGACAACTACACCATTTTTCTCCATATGTCTTCCGTTGTCCCGACGCCTATACCGCGGATAGCCATCATCATCGACAGTCGTGAATTCAAGAAATGGTTTTGGAAAACGTTTACTGCATTTTCCATCAACCATGCACGGAGATTGCTTTCTGGCCAATCCACACGGGCCGTGGATCATGTGTTCCTTTACAGCTTCATAATAAGAAGGATCAGAAGACTCATCAGGTATCTCAGCAGAGATAATTCTATCTATGTCCGAAGGATCGGGAAACTTGTTTTCCTTTGCTAAAAAAAGAAGTATATGGGCATGAGGCAATCCGCGTTTTTGAAATTCAACAGTGTATACAACTGAAAACAAAAAAGAAGAGAATGTCAAACAATTATGAATATTACTGTAGAAGAATTAAAAAGAAATCAAATTTTGTAAAATAATGATCGTACCTGCTATTACTTTACCAAATATTTGTTTCTCACGGAAATCCCGTATCAACTGCTTTAATTTTGATCTAAAAACTCTGCAAACGATATCGGGACGATCCTCAGGACGTAAGTTCTTTGGGCCTAAAAAGCGAAGGATCTCGGGCCACTTTGGGTTGCATGTGAATGTTATAAACAAATCGGGATAACCTGCCCATCTGCATATCGCCATTGCATCCTGATAGTTCTGAATCATATTCCGAGCCCCCCCAGTGAAAGTCGAAGGTAGAATTATTCTCTTTCCTCTAGATCCTGGATCGATATCACCACGAAGAACAGCATCCGCTAACCCATTGTACATGTCACATCGTAGGCGAGTTTGATTGTAACGGATATATCTCAATCTCGATGATTCAACCATGGTATATGCATCAACGACAAATTGTTGAAACAGTCTCCTGGCCGAAAGAATAGTAGACGGTTCGTGCTCCCTATCGTGGATTCGATAAGCAAAATATTCCCTGATACTCACAGTTGTTCGACCATCCTCTTTTATTTCTCTCAGATCAGAAAATGGGATGTCTTCTCTGTACCCATCCTCCCCATAAGGCAACAATAGGGGATATTGTAAAGCCAAATAGGAAGCATTAAGTTCATTGATTCTCCGTAGGCGTCCACTTTTGGTCTCAACCAATATATCCCTTTCACCCATTGCTTGATCAAAATCTCCAACGACCAAGGCAGCAACTTCAGAGCTTGTAGGCAAGTTATAACATCTACCATCACTATGTCTCCTTCCAATTAGACGAATCTTCACATCACTTGGCCGTGTTGTTGAATTCTTTCCCTAGCCATACGAAACGACTTAACCAGTTGATTGTGCTCGTCCAACATTGTTGTCAAGCGAGCAACAATTTCCTCATGCAAATCAGAAATACCGTCAGAGCTCCTATAAGATTAAAAAAAAATTAAATTCGTAATCAGCTTCACAAATATGTGACGAAAAAATTACTATAGACTAAAAATTAAAAATTTATAAATAACCGCATAATCTGTTACGCAAATTACTAACCTGACTGCATTCATTCTATTGGATAATTCATTATCCGTATCATAGATATAAAGCTGCGCAAATTTTGGAGTTGCACCTTCGGATGGAAGTAGACTACCAATCAGATGATAGTTTTGGCCGTGTAGAGTGAATACCGGAGGACCTGTACCATTGTTGATCCCTGCATCAATCTTCCCGCCCAAAGAAGTAAAGCCAAACATACTGTTATAAGATCTGATATTCTCCTGAAAGTGTTTGCTATTGCGGCTATCTCCGTGTAAAAGCTCATTTAAATATGCAGGTGGATTATGGAGTGCAGGCAGTTGTATCGCCCCGTTCATACAACAACCCTTATATTCAGGATGAGCTGTAGCCTTTTTTGAAGATTTTCGCTCAACATACCAAAACAGTGCTCCGCAATAAATACATTGACAGCTAGCATCACCCATGTCCCAGTATTCTACAAAATTTAAATTGTAAGAAGATATATTAAATTCCAACTAATAAGCAGAAAAAAAAATATAATGTTTTATTAATGTAAAACATACCGGATTGGGCCGATGTGGATCCAACAATCTTTTTCGGTCTACCAGGTTTTCGTTTGGGAACGGTAAGGGGGACAACAGCATCCACGGTGTGATCGACTACATCATTGAAATAAGTAGGAAAAGAACTCAATAGAAAAAAATATATTAAATTGCAACATATAAGAAGAAAAAAAAAACAAATATAATTTTATATTAACGTAAAACATACCGGATTGAGTCGATGTAGATTCAATAATCTTCTTCGGTCTTCCAGGTTTTCGTTTGGGAACGGGAAGGGGGACAACAACATCCACGTTGTGATCTACTACATCATTTATACCAGTTTGCAAATAACTCAATAGTAAAAAGTATATTAAATTACAACAAATAAGATGAAAAAAAAAATGATAACATTTTATTAACGTCAAACATACCGGATTGGGTCGATGTGGATCCAACAATCTTCTTCGGTCTACCACGTTTTCTTTTGGGAACGGGAATGGGGACAACATCATTCACGGTCAAATCCACAACATCATTGAACTCAATAGGCAAAGATCTCTTTTTATCACTATTAATAACATGTATGGAACTCGATGGAAGATGATCTGTACATTTTAATTAATTTATTTAATTATTTATACGAAGAAAAATATAAGTTACCCAAGGCGAATTAGATCTTTCAATTTATATTAATCTTACTTTTGTTTGTTGGATTCAGGGGCATATTATGCATAACTCCCGAACCACCATCATCATCAGTATCACTTGTAAGGTCTATGACGATGTTTTGGGTACAATTTTTTGATAAACTGTCATTCGGTTGTATGGCATGACCTGAATGAAAAATAATATATGTTAGTACATCTAAAAAAATTCATCGTGAATAATTATATAATTCAAATAAATAATAAAAAATAGGAATGGTTTACTGTTTTTAAAATTATGTGCGATTTGATGTCTTTGGGTAGAAGAACAACCGATGTTTAATTATGCATAAAATAAATAAATACTAATAATAAATAAACACTTAATTCGATTATAAAATAAATTATTAAAATACATTTAAATACGTTCAATTTAACATACCATATGCGACACCAGATAATGGCTTGATATGAGGACTATGCAATACACTTTGATACTTATAGGACGTATAACCCAAATGACTTGAGCTTTGTTCAGGAATCAAAGATGATACATGGCTCGGTGGTGATGTCCCATACCCTGTTTATATCAATATTTAAAAAAATGATAATTTAATAATGTATAATTTTTAAGATAAAAAATTAAAAGTCACACTAATCTATTAAAAAAAATATTAAAATAAAGTATGTATTACCTTTTATGGTATTGTATTTAGTCTGAACCACTGGTGTACACGAACGACTCATTCCAAGAACTATATTAAAAATAAAAATTAATATTTTTTCTGTAGATGCATACATATAAAGATTAATAAAAGTATATTATGCAATTAAAGTTTGAATTGAATAACATAATACCATTAGTCACATCAGATAATGGTAAGTTCTGAGTACAATGTAAGACACTCTGATACTGATAAGAAGATTTTTTCGATGCGTCATTGTTTTGTTGAGCGATAAAAGATGATCCTTTGACAACCGGTGACGTCATATAACCTGTAAAATTGACGAAAAAGTCAAAATTGGTATATAAATAAGTCGTTTAAATAATTGTACCACACTCAATTGTAATGTTGTAAGTATTATGTTATGGTAAAAAAGTACTAAATTAAATGCCAAAAAATTGATTGTACAATGTGGGCTTAAAATTAGTATGCTAGTCTTTATTAAAATTAGTATGCTAATCTCTATCAATATTAGTATGCTAATCGTTATTAAAATTAATGTGGGCTTAAATTAATTATGTTATATAATAAACATAATTAAAAATGATATATAAGCCCAAACTGATTTTTTGTTTGGTAAAATTTAACCAAAATCTATTAATTACTTAATGGATCTAATCCATAAGGCAATTAAAATCAGCCCAAAAAAAAAAATTTTGCCTCAGTAAAATTCGGCCCATCCATTAATGTGTATATTTGATTCACACGTGTCAATATTTATTTTGCTTTGATTTAATTAATGGGCTTTTAAAAATTAACGAATGGACTGGTAAAACCGAAAACAAATAACATTTGCACAATTACGGCCCATACAAATTGGAACCAACACTGTTGAGTCTTAACATGATCGGACGGCTAATATTAGGCGGTGGGATCTAACGGTCAAAAGCAATAGAAGACAGCTATAAATGCAAAACCATGTCCGAAATTTTAGGGTTAAACATTTTGTTACGCCCTTCCTCTCTCCCACCGCCTACCATTTTTTCATCTTCTCAGACAGTAATTTTTTGTATTCCTTTTTTTGTTTTTGTTTTAATTTTCAGCGAGATCTAACAGATCTGTATAATCGATTGTGAGCACAACGTGGTTTTTAGGGGTTTTCGTTTTATTTTTCTCCAAAACGTTGTTGTTGTAATTTTGGAACACGTCTGGGTTCATTTGGGTTCTCGATTTATTAATCTCGGGACACGTTTTTGTTGTAATTGTTCACGGATCTGGGCTCCTGTTCGAAGAAAGTACTTCAATACAGATCGATGATTACATGGTGAGTAGGTAAGTCGAACGGTATTCGAAATAGTTTGGAACACTCTGCGGTCTTTGATTTTTTTTTTTCATGCATAACTGTTTTGAGATGATTGCTTGTCACTATATGCGAATCTGATGTCGTTTTTTGTGTACCGTAGCCAGATAAATTGGAATCTGACTCGTTCTTCACAGATAGTGTGAATCGACAGTCGGATTCCAAAAAATGGTAAACAAAAATTATTTATCAGCCTATGATTCGTAGAATATTCATTAATTTTACTATATTTTATCATTTGATTTATTTGTTGGCTTCTTATTTTTTGCGAATTAAAAAAAAATAGATAAATGAAATCGATTAGATAATCGGGTCTGCGTTAAAGTCTGATAGTTTTGGTTGAAAAATATATAACATTTTGCGTTGTTAATTGTATTGTCTGTGCTGGGACTCTCATAATTTAACTATAATCATGTATAGAAAATTGATTGTCTCTATGTGACCGTTGATTGAATAAATCTGTTTTACAGATATCCAGTTTCAGTGTTTATTGAATAGCATACAATCATATCTATTACTGATATCGTCAAATAATATTCTAAATGTATGAGGTGGAGTCAAACTATGCATCTACTGATTCGGGATATACAACTATGTCACATAAGCGAGGAGCAATTTTTACTGAGGCAAGTTCTTAGTCAACATTTATCCTTGTTTCTTCAATTTCATAAAATATTTATAATATACTATAATGATTTGTTATAGTTTATTGGTACTATACACATCTGCCTTCTCATTTTGAGGTTTTCCAATGGAGCAACTGAAGAAAAAGGTAGAAACATCCAGCCAAAATGAAGAAAAGTAACACGAATAACTGGTAGGTTTATTCATTGGATGAATATATATTATTTTTACGCTTTTAAACATTAATTATTCAAACAGAACATAAGTAATGAGACTGTATGGATATCAATAACCTATGTATCTAACTTTTCCATTGATTTGATTTACATGGCTGAGGATGATGAGACCACACGGGTATGACGTAAAAGGCGACGGATTCACAACAAACTAAAACGGAGAGAAAGGTAAACATAAAATACATCGTGTTCATTGATTTTTTTACTCCAATCAAAATTTTCATACACATATAGTAAAACATAGATGATAAATAAAATATGTCTTACTGCAAAATTAAAGTAAACAAATAAATATGATTAGAAAGATTACTTGGATTGGAATTTTCATCCTCGGGCATGTTGGTTTGTGTTTTTTGCCGACTTATGTAACCTTCATCTGTTGCTCCCCTCTTATTTGTGTTTGTGCTGTCATTTTCATTAAACTTGGTCACATGCTCGGATAGATTCTTCATTGATGCTGCGCTTTCCCTTTCATTCACACTGTTGTTCTCTTTCAGTTTGTTGCTATTTTAAACAATATCGTCAGAACATTATAAATATGATGTAGAGATTGAAAAAATAAAAACCAAAAACTTATGACTTGCGTGAAGAAGATAGGGCTTTCTGAGACAGAATAATGCAATATATAGAGTATAATAGGAAAAAAAGATCCTCATTTGATTTGGATAAGTTTTTTAAAGACTTTGAAGAAAGTAAAACTCTTTCTTACTTTGACTAAAAAGCAGTTTATTATTGACACGTGATTTTAGGGCACGCGTAAATGAATAGCAAATTTGATCGGATATGTATTACCTTTATTAAAATATTAAATCTTTTTTGTTTTAAATTATTATATCATAAAATATTTATATATTTTTAAATAGATGAAACGAAAAATAAATGTGTACATATTATTCTGTACGCCTTAAAGATGTTTTGAAGAAAGAGGTTATAGTTTTTTTATTGTTTATAGTATTAGGAATTATGTTTCACGTTATTTAGAATAGGAAAGTGTTATAGTTTCTTATTTTATGATGATTGCTTTTTTTATTTCGTTGCCAATATGTTCACATCTATTAATGTATAAGTAGGAATGTATCTGTGTGTATGGTTAAATTAATGTCTTTATATATATATATCGAAAATAACTAAACACAACGTATTAAGCAAAAAAGAAATTTTATTATCATTCATTAAATATCGAGAACTATATTTTTCCTAGAAACAAATCATGAGAAAAACATTAAAAGGTTCAGAAAGCATGAAACTTATTTAACTAAATACTAATTAAATATCCAAGAACCAAATAACAAATAAGAACCTTCAAAACAAACTAAATATCTTATGAATTTTTTTTTCATCAATAAAAATAGCCGCCCAATAAATTCACGAAGGAAAGATTCCATTGTATTTGACCACACGAGTCGTGCTATTAATCACAAGCTTCCAAGTGTGGTATGTTGCCGGGCTTCTCCTATTATTGAATTCAAGTTCATAGTTGTAGAGCACGTAGACTTCCCCTATTTTAAAAACATCACGAAACATTCTGATATTGGCAATTCGTATAATGCCAGATATTCGTTCCCCCTGCAATATAAATATATAAAAAATAAAGTAAAAAGTTCGTAGTATTGTAATTTTTATATGTCAATTGAAAATAATACCTCTTGGTCTTGAAATAAGATCTCAATACGATTCTTGTCCTCCAAGACGAATTGAGCCTCTACAATAAAAACAACTCTCAATTTTAAATAAGGTCGGTTGGCCCTATTGACTGCACGAAGTGTATCGAAAACGGCCGGCATTGTTTTTTTTTTTTATGTTTTCTTAAGAACGTCTTTGTCTTCTTTTTTTACCCACACGAATTGGAGAAATAGATGAAAACTTTATGAGTATATATAGAAGTCTAAAAACACGTTTGATATATCAATAAATATTTGTACTTATCTCATGAGATCTGAATTGATTGATCTATAATCTTACCTTAAATATATATTTAAAATATGAATCCTTTTTGATTTAGGATTGTATATTACAATTTCAAAATAATTTTCGAAAGGTGTGAGAAGTTGAATTGAGTTAGATTTTTTTTTTTTAATTTTTTTTTATATTACATTAGGTTTCCAAAAATTCATGAAGTAAAACACTCACATATTTTGCAATTTGAAATTCCCTATATCACGTTGATCTCAATTATTAATGTTTTTATATTTAATCCAACTTAACGTAATAAGTTGAATGATTTATTAATATTTTTATAATTAATCGGACATAGGAATATTTACATATTTGTGTTTAATTAATCTTCTTTAGTTAAATTAAAAAATTAACTGATTAAATCGAAAATAACTAAACACAAGTTTAAAGCAAATGAGAAATTTTATTATCATTCATGAAATCTTGGGAACTATATGTTCCCTAGAGAAATCCATGAGAAAAGCATGACATAATTCGAAAAGCATTAATCCTATATAACGAAATACCAATAAAATATCCAAATACGAATTGAAAACCATAAAAGCAATCTAATCATCTTAAAAAAATGTCTTATTAATCTAAAAACCCAATCCACTAATTATCATCTTCCCCATTGGTCGGGAGCAAATTTCCATCCTCATCAACCTTCGCTTTTCCCTTGTTGCTTGTGACCGATTCAAAAGCAAATTGATCGCCCAAGTTCCTCTTTGCAGTTGATGTGTCGTCAACTTTCTCACATTCTTTATTGACCTTCAATGGAGTGGAGACTTCGTCCTCCAAGGAGGCATCCTATAATAATTGAAATAATTTATTTTAATAAATGTTGACATTTACAAAAATATAATGTACGTTAATTTTATATAAGTTGAATTTACCCCTTCTTTTGCAATGTCTTCTTCTCTTAGCAAGAGAGTCATAAAATCCGAGTCCTATTGAAAAAAAAAAAAAAACGTTAGTATTTATTATAAAAAAAAATTAGAATGTTGATTGAAGTAGTTAGACTTACATCTTCTTCATAAACCCATTGGTTATACTTTGAGACCAAGTTGTCATCAACTACCACCCTAAGCACGTTGAATGAAGAAGCAAAGTTGTAACGATCGTTAGGCTTAATGCGAATTTTGAAAAGATATTTCTTGCCAACCAAATCTTCAACATCGTCAGGAAGATCAAAGACAGCCTGCTTCTATAACAATAGAAGAGAATTTTATATGTCAGCTTACTTGAAGTTAAAAAACATCATGCTAATGTTAAATAAAAAAAAAATTATTGGTTAAACTCGAGATAATTACCTCCCTCTCGGCATATTCGCGCTTCAGTATATCACAAGGTTTGCCAATCATCCTTTGACAATCTTTATCCCAACAAACCACAGTCATATGCGCAGAAGCATCGTACACATCCATTTGAATTTTATATCTAATTTTTTCAAATTATCATGTCATAAAGTAATCATAAAATTAAAATTTTAAATTTAGTATAATATAAAAAACAAACCGAAAAATGCCACGATTGTGAGTGCACTTTCGACACTTATGATTGTGTCCATCAGTCTCCATCGAACTACTACATCGAATACATGCCAAGTACCACCATTCATCTATGATGGAACCAATCGTTGCACAAACCCAAATGTCCTTAGACTACAATGGACAAATCAAATATACGATTAAGTATTATAAAACCGAAAATCATTATATATATTTTTTAGTAATGAATTTACGTTTTATTACCTCCACACAATCATGTAAAGAATCAACCGTACTAACGATGATATCCCCGTCCTCGAGTTGTTGAAGTTCAGTCTTGACAACAATGGAACTATTCGACACCAATTGGGTATTCCTCAATTTACCCGCAGCCAACCTTAATAATATATAAATTACGTAAAAAGAAATAATATATAAATTACGTTAATAAATTACTACATAATTCACGAATGAAAAAAAGGTACCTCCTCCTAAATTCACGAATTTCGGGGACATCCACACAAATGAGAAGAGTAACATCTTTTGATGTGCTTATTCGCACTTCACCTACAATTATATAAATTAATTAAGAGATTATAAATTAAAATTATAATAAGAAAATGATTATGGTAAAGTTAAAAAATATTACCATCAAACACCTTGGCACGACACATTTGCATGATCATGACAAAAGCTTGTTGTTCATTCATGTAATGATGCTCAATAGCAATTAGTTGATCAACATATTGTCCCCAGAGGGTACAATTCTTCTTTTTCCCTCTAAATAAATCGAGTAAATTAATTCAAATTCAAGAATAAATATTTGGTAAGAGATCAAACAATCATTTTATACAATTTAATATAATACAAATTAATATAAAATTTTATATGTACTTACTCCAAGTTCATAAGGGAGAAAACAATCATTTGAGTTGGCTTCCCTTTCACAGTCTTCATTTGGATTGGTTGTATTTCAACCACCACCCCAATAACATCTTTAAATAAACAATATAATAATAATAATGTTAATAAACACATGTAGGATAATTGAATTTTTAAATTTTTAAAATATTAAATTAAGTACACGAATACACGAAATTAAAAACATAGCAACCAAAAAAAAATTTAAAATTTAACGGATTAAATATAAATAATTATGCGTAGCTTGATTGGTGGCTTATTGGATCTTTCGATATTCTTGATGACTCCAAAATTCAAAGGCATTTTGAATGGTGTGGTAATAGATTGTAGAAAAAATTGTATTATGGGATGCGTATGATGTCGAATATCTGTTGTTGTTGGTGATGTTTATATAATCATGTGTATACCCCATACGCCATCACGGGGACTTTAAAAAAATTTATATATTGTACTAATCTTTTTATCTGATAGTACCCGATATTTTTGGTCGGGATATTATAGATATCCAGTCAAATTCGAAATTTAGTTACTTTCATTACTATTATGATGAGTTGGCTAGAATATATGAAAAATTTCGATGGAAAATATAATCTATAAATCCAAGATTTGATGGCGATTTTCATATTTACACGGGGATTTATTCCTTTTTAAACAGGCAATTTCAATCATTATCTTGAAGATCTTGTTGTATTATGAAAAAAGAGATCATATAAAATCTCTCAGGATCCACTTACATTTGTTAAGAAAATCCAAACAAATTCTGATTTGAAAGATTAATTACTTACACACAATTTGAACGCGTGGGCCCATTTGTGTTACTTTACATATTCTCACGGAATCCTCATATATTGGTTAATAATTTCCAAACTAATTTTGAGAGGAATCCGGTAAAATTAGTTAAGAAAATCCGAACAAAATTTGAGGAGATACATATAACACCAACTTATGTTAAGTTTAACCAGCGGGACAAATATATAATGAATACCAATTGAAATCGCACAGATTCCGAATTTGTTGGTTCAGAAAATCGTAACTAAATTCGATAACTTTGGTAAGAAATGTTCGATTATGAAAATAGTGAACAAAAAAAAATCCCACAAAATTTGGTATCATTTCCTAACAGCATTTCGTGAAATAATTGTTTAAATCCGAAATAACATGTTAAATTTTAAAGCTAAAAGAAAATGAATGTGTGGGGCCATTTAAATATTTCTTGTATTAGTAAGTCAAAACTTTATTTTTTTGGTCAACCTTACTATTTTTGTATTTTTCCAACAACATCTTTATATTACTATAGATATAGATATAGATTATAAAAAATTCCAAAACTAAGGCGATTAGACACCAATACCTGAAAAAAATAAACCCTTTCCAGTCCTCGCTCTTCGTTCTCTCGGAGGAATGCGCTGTTATGTGATTTTCTTGCACCATCATTGTTTCGTGGGTTTTCTATATGTTCCTTTTCGTGGGTAAGTGTTTTGATCCTCCGTTTGTTGCGAGTCTAGGTTGGTCAGAAATTTGATCCTTCGTTTGTTGCAAGTCTAGGTTGATCAGGAGTAGGACTCTTGATGAACCCTTTTAAACTCGGAAAACCGTTATTAATTGAATTTCTTCTTTCCTAATTTTTTTCGTAATTATGCACCGTATCGATTCTCCGGTTTTCATCTCGATTGCTTGATCCGGGGTTGTGTGATTCTGTTATTTGCCTGGTTTGGCCTTTTTGTGATTGTGATTGATCACACGTGTTTGAAGTTGGTCCCAAATAAGCCAGAAGACAAAAAGATGAAATCTTTGCATTCAGATTGGTAGAGTTCGGTCATCAGCAGCACAGGGTGCAGGGATCTTTGTGAATTCTTAGGAATAAAATCGGAATAATGGCGAGGAATAAGGAGAAAGACAACCCTGAATGCCGCTTAAATTCTCCGGTGCTGACATCAATGGCTGACTCATCAATCAGCCTGTTGAAACTCATCTCGATCTTGATAATTTTCGTGGTGGGTGTAGCTATAGGACTGGTCTCTAGCTCCAACATCAACAGGTACTTCACATTCCACGACAACTACAAAAACACGTATTTTGATACCGGGCAATTTAGCCATGATGGCTGGAGAGTAGTAGTGAATTACGAGAGGGATGTTTGCCTGAGCACTGACCGGTTTGTAAAGCCTAGAAATCTCGACCATCAGTTGACGGACGATGAGTTGTTTTGGCGGGCCTCATTGGTGCCCCAAAAGGAAGAGTTTCCCTTCAGGCGGGTGCATAAGGTGGCCTTCATGTTCCTCACACGAGGGCCTCTGCCAATGTTGCCGTTGTGGGAGAGGTTCTTCAGTGGACAGGATGCCGAAAAGTACTCGATATACGTGCATGCTCTTCCTGGGTTCGAGCTCAAAGTGGATAATACGTCTGTTTTCTACAGGCGACAGATCCCGAGTCAGGTAATATTACTTTTTTGTATGTCAGTTTCTCATTTAATGATGATATATGATAGTTTTTTGGATTTTCTTGCACCCTCATTGTTTTGTGGGTTTTCTGTTTGTTCCTTTGCGTGGGCAAGTGTTTTGATCCTCCGTTTGTTGCGAGTCTTGGTTGGTCAGAAATTTGATCCTTCGTTTGTTGCAAGTCTAGGTTGATCAGGAGTAGGACTCTTGATGAACCCTTTTAAACTCGGAAAACCGTTAATTAATTGGATTTACCTGATTTTTTTGAAATTATGCACCGTATCGATTTTCTGGTTTTCATGTCGATTGCTTGATCCGGGGTTGTGTTCTATTATTTGCCTGGTTTGGCCTTTTTGTGATTGACTGATTGTGATTGTGATTGATCGATCACACGAGTTTTTAGGAGGGATGGAAACAGATATTTGATTATTGTTCATGTTTGTTCAAGATAACTGCTTTAAGTAAGTGCAAAATGCAAATACTAACACAAAGAATCATCAAGCCTCACCACCTAGTTTTGCATATTAAGCAATTCAAAGTACACCTTGGTATGGTTTTAAAGGCTAAATTGCAAAACTCACTCCTCAAATTCATCCCCTTTACCACAAACCCAGTTTTACAGAATATCACTTAAACTTGTAATAATTTGAAAAACAAATGTTTTTTTTTTCCTCTGATTTTGCAGCACGTGGAATGGGGATCGATATCATTGATCGATGCCGAAAAACGTCTGCTAGCCAATGCCCTCCTCGACTTCTCGAATGACCGTTTTGTCCTCCTCTCAGAAAGCTGCATCCCAATCTACGACTTCCCAACCGTCTACAAATACCTCACCACCTCCAAACACAGCTTCGTGGAGTCTTACGATACACCAACACGCTACGGACGAGGCCGCTACAGCCGGCGCATGAATCCGGACATCCATCTGTCCGAATGGCGCAAAGGGTCCCAATGGTTCGAAATGCAACGTGGCTTGGCCATCAAGATAGTTGCTGACACAAAGTACTATTTGCTATTCAAGAAGTACTGCAAGCCCTCTTGCTACCCGGACGAACATTACATCCCGACTTATATAAGGAAATTTCATGGTGAATTGAATACGAACAGGACAGTGACTTATGTGGATTGGTCGCAGCTGGGCCCGCACCCAGCGACTTTCATGGCTGAGAATATTACTGAGGGGTTTTTGGAGTCGCTCAGGAATAATGGCACTTCGTGCTCGTATAATAATGGGGAGACGGCTATTTGCTATCTTTTTGCGAGGAAGTTTGATCCGAGTGCTTTGGAGCCGTTGATGAATCTGACATCGCAAGTTATGGGATTTTGAAGAGTATTGGTTCTTGTGATAGTNTGAAAAGAGAAAAAAAATACTGGGATTTCAAGATTTTGGTAGAGTTCTTGACTGGTTAAGGTTTATTCTAGTGCCTAGATTTAGGTTAGGGCACATAGGCATCTTGGGCTTTATGTTTACTTGTTTAGTGCTAACTTGTGGTAAAAACAATAGAAAAATGCTATTAAGTACATAATAAATACATCGAGTTGTACATAACACTCACATAGGGTGGGGTCCAGTTGATTTTTATTTTTGGTAGGATCCACTTAATGTGAGTGTTATGTACACTTCTATGTATAATATTATGTACCTAGAACATTTCTCAAAACAAGAATGTAAGCAAATGAAGAGGAAGTTTTGGTTGTTGACTCAGATTCCAGTATATGTTTAGTAATTTTTTTGCCGGGTGTGTGTTTATGTTTATAACACAAGGAAACTTGTGTGTGTTTATAACACCGAGGAACAAGGGAACTTTTTGCATACGTGTAAACATTTTCAGGTATATTGATCACAAGACTCATGTTGGTTTTTTCTAATTAGTGGATGTGATGTTTATGATCGGTGTGGTACAATTTTGTGTAAATTATCTAGCATTGCGATTAAAGATAGAGATGTGGTTAACACTTGAATTCAGGTTTATGAGTCAAATGTGAATCCTAAGATGCATGGGTAAGCGTATAATAGTTTTAAATTTTTTCTTGAAAAATAGTAAACACTTATTTGGAAAATTCAAGCTGTACAGATATCTGCACCAAATAAAAGATGTAACAAACCTCAGAAGTAGATTTGGGTAGGGAACTTCACAAACATTGACATCCGAGGAGTTGATCGGGCTCCTCTCAACTTCATGTAAAAGCTTTCCAACTTTCCAAATAAATGTAAACTCATATTAATCTCAACATGGACTTTAACTCCAATCAATCTGAATCATCATCCTTCCTGTCTTATTAATCTCAATATTCAATGGGTAAGAGATCCAGAGTACAATAATCTCCAAAAGAAAGAAAGAAAAAAAAATAAAAATAAAAATAAAAATCACAAAGTCCCGAATATCATAAAGGGATGATTTTTTTTCCTCTCCTCTTTTCTGCAAAGACATAAAAAGATGAATCACAACAAAAAAGTGGAGTAGGAAACAATGAGGAAACACCCGAAAGAATGAGCATTCAAAAGAACCTTTAACCATTCCCCGGTCAAACTACTACAAATATCATAACAAATGACAGTCGATGCAAGAATCATGTCTGAGACTACCCACATCTATATGCCAAAACATAAAAAACAAAATTCTATCATGATCATGTTCACGACTTTCCATCCTTCAAATATCAAACAGCTGCTCGTCCCATAAATAATAAAATACCTTCCAACCCATCACCTAACAAATCAAGCAACATTCTGCCCTGCCACACGTTGAAACTCCATTTCCTGCTGCGGCATGGACTCTGGTTGACGTGCATGTTCCACAGAATCATTCACATAAGGCATCTCCTGCTTCCATCCTCCATTGTCTAACCTCGGAAGCTGCGGGCCCCTCGGCAAAAGGTGAGGCCTTTGGGGCACAAAATGATTCTGAAACTTGCTCAGAACACTCTCAATCTCCCGCAGCCGATCGACCCCTTCAAAAGCCCCCACCACAAACTCCTTAAGTGAAGCAGAAAGCCCAACACCATGGCCCGCCATACCCCAAAGCAAATCCACAACAGCATCAAACTTACCTCCCTGCACAAGGCCCCTTGTTACGACCTCATAAGTCGTGACATCAGGCTTCGGCTCCCTACTCGCCATTTTCGACAAAATAGGCACGCAATCTACAGCACTCCCCTTCTCGATCAGGTACCCAAACCACTTGTTGGCATAAGGAGGGATGACCCTCAGCCCATCTGTCCCAACCTCCACCATCTTCGAAAACTTCTCCAAAACCTTCTCCAACCTATCTGCATTTATGTAAGCCTCGATCAGCGTCTTGAACGAGTTCACATCCGGGGACAAAGACTTGTCCGTCAGCTGAGTGAAGTACTTCTCAGCCTCGTCAACCATCCCAAGCTCACACAGCCTCATCATCATGTTGTTGTAACCGGGCACGTCCATCTGGAAGGGCTTCGATTTGACCCCCTTCCCGCACCTCTTGAAAACATCGATAGCTGCTTCAATATTCCCTTCCTTGAAGCACTCGTTGACCATCATGTTGACCGTGTCCGAGTTGACCGCCATGACTGTGGGCGGCGTGTGCTCGTCCAGCATCACGTGGAACATGTCCCACGCCTCTTTCTTCCTCCCGTGCCTCAGCAGTGTCTCGAGAATCACGTTACGCGAGACAGGCACTTTAATGTAGTTCCTCGAGAGTAAATCTCGGTAAGCCTCCATGGCTTCCTTGGGCTTCCCTTGCTTGAAGAACCAGTCTATGAAAGTGGCACTCACGGCCCCATCATACACGGCACACCTCTCTCTCAACTCGTCGAAAAGCTCGTTTGCCTTGTCCAGTTGGCCGAGGTTCAAGAAGCCGAGAATTACGTTGTTGAAGACTAGTGAGTCGGCGCCTTGGCCTTTGTGGATCATCTCACGGAGCATGCTGAGGGCATCGTCTATGCGGCCAGCTTGGACAAGGCCCTTGGTGAGGTGGCGGAAGGTGAAGGAGGAAGGGCTGAAGGGGGCATGCTCGAGCATGTGGCGGTAGACAGAGAGGGCCTCGTCCACCTGTCCTGAGTCACAGTGAGAGAGGATGAGGCTGTTGTAGGAGACTACGTTTGGGATAATGTCAAACTGACGGAAAAAGTACTGGAAGAGGGCTTGAGCGTCCGAGTAGCGGCTGGCCCGGCACATGGCGGCGATGATGGCGTTGCAGGTGAAGACGGTGGTGCGGTGGGACCAGGGACTGTAAGCAGCCTGGCGAGCCACATAGGAGGCGCCGTCGAGGTCGCCCGCGCGGATGAGAGACTGAACGCGATTGTGGAGGTTGAGGCGGGAGCCCACGAGGACGTTGGTGCTGTCGGGGAGGCGGGGCTTGTTGGGATCGTCGGGCGAGGCCCGTGGAGGGGGATTAGGGCGGAGGGCGTGGAGGGGGGGCTCGATGCGCTGGCGCCGCTTGCGGCGGCGGCGCTCGGCGGCGGCCTCCTCCGCGGAGGAGAAGCCGTGGGATCGCTGGGATACGAAAGGGGCGGCGGAGGATGGGAACTGGGGGTTGTTGGCGGACGTATGGGTGTTGAGGAAGGGATTGCTCTGGTAGGAATACGACGACTGCGGCGGGGGGTTGTGCTGGGAATACGACGATTGCGGTGTCTGGTTTGGGGGATTGTGCTGGTAATTCGATCCTGGAATTGGATCTTGGTGATTGTGCTGGGAATACGACGATTGCGGTGTCTGATTTAGGGGATTGTGCTGGTAATTCGATCCTGGGATGGGATCTTGGGGATTGTGCTGAGAATATGAAGCGTCGGCGGCAGCCGGGATTTGAGAGTCGTATCGGTAATTCGATCCGCCGGGGGCGGTGAACTGGGAATTTTGGTAGTTATTGGACTGATTGTGGTGGTCGTATTGGGAGTTTTGGGAAGGGTAATCGAACGTTTGTCCGGCGGAGGGGGAATGGAAGGGGAAAGGGTTGGGGGCGGAGGAGTAGCGGCGGATGGAGCGGAGGAGTAGCAGACGACAGAGAGACATGGTGGTGATGGTGACTGGTGACTGGAAACCCTAATCGGAGAGAAATGCAGAGAGCAAGCTTAAACCCTTCCTTTTTGTTATTATTTATTATTTATCAGGGAATATTATTTCCTTTTTAATTTTTGAAAAAAAAAATATAATTTCACAACATTTTATTTGAAACTAACAACTTCTCTATTACTTCACTATTGGTATCACCATGTGCATTTATACAAAAAACAATATGATAGAAAAAAAAATAATAAAATTATAAATAATAGTAATGGATGCTTAGGACGACCAACTACGTTTTTTTTTAGAGGTCAAATTTAATGATGGAACTGCACAAAATAGAATTATTATTAAAAAAAAAAACAACAAAATATCTTCTAAATATAGAAAAACTTAAATTAATAATTATTTTAACTTCCAAAGAGATAAATTAAACAAAAATGATAAAGAATTCAAAGTTACCATTTGTGAGGAGAGGTAATGCAAGCCTGGGACGACCGGCTATGTTTTTTCGAGACGGCAAGTTTAATGATGGAACTAAAATAAAAAAAATTATTATTATTATAAAACATTAAGCAAAAAACAACATTTAAATATATGATTAAAAAAATAATTTTGCTACCGCAAAAAGAAATTAGACGTTTTGATAATAAATTTAGAATTATCGTTGCTAACGTTGTTTAACAACGATGTCGATGGTGCATTTTCATCATTGTTCTTTGTAAGATCAATTAAAGGCAGTAAACTGCTTCAATATGCATTTTTATGTGAGTTATGGAACATATTGAGACGAACGTTGATAATTTGGGAATGAAACACCTACCATTAAAAATTAATTAATAGTCAATATAAAAAATACATAATAATAACAATATTTGTTATAATTCAACGATTGTAATAATGTTATAAAATATACAACAATAAAAAAAAATATACCAGTTTCTTGAATGATAGAAAAAATTTCTGCTCCTACCATGTCCTGGGGGGACATACTACCGATGAATGCGGAGGTCTGATCCGTGAGATTAAGCAGCTTATCAAGGATGATCGGTTAGAGGAGCCGCCCCTGGCTAAACCCAGCACCCAAACCAATCCGTTACCCAGGTTCGGGAATCAAGTGAATATGGTGCAGTCGGGTTTGCCCGAGAACTTTGTAATTGACCTACACTTCGTATTTATGCTTAGTCTCGCCTTGCAAGCAACCTCTTACTACCAGAAGACTACCATATACCGATCCTTGTTGTTACCCGGTTTTTGGAACGAAGGTGTTAGTGTAGACACATCCGATATTGTAACTACAATAATAAAATTAATATAATTAAATTATGCACAATAATTTATTTATAATATTTTAAATACAACATCTAACTTTTCCGTAAGGTAAAACTTACTATTTAAAAAACGTGTGATAAAATTAAATGGAGCAAACATAAAAACATGATTTTTTTTGTAATATAACAATCACTATTATGTGTACTAGACATGTAATGATTCTACTTGTGTATATTTTTTTATTAATAAATAGCCAAATCGATCGGATTTTAGAAAATCGTTATTGATTTATAGTATTTCAGCTCAAATCTGTCGATTACAAATAAGATCTACCAAAATATAAAGCTTTGCATTTTTTTTATAAGATCTATACATTGGGAATATTTTATTGTTCAGTTTTTATATAGAAAATAGAATGTTATAACAGATGTACTAAAATTGTTATGAGTTTTTTTCAAAATTTTGATGTATATTATGATATCTTTGTATATTTATTAATAATTTGTAAAAAGAGTAATAATTTAAAAGATCTATTAAGATCTAAAGAAATTTTATATGTATTTTTTTAAAAAATGCAGATATTTGTCTAATTCAAATAAGCTTTATTTTTTTCTTTTTTTTTTCTTTTTGTTAACTATTAACAAATCTAGTGCTAAAACTTTTTTTTATTTTTATTTTTTTGTTGTGGGGGATTTAATATACTATTTACATATGTAGTTAAATATTGACAGATCGAGTACTAAAACAATATTTTTTTGAGAAATTTAGTATGCGTTTTACAAATGTTGACCTTATGTTTAAAAGCTTTTGTTCGCATATTTGAGTTAACTAAAATATTATGTTAAATTAAACAACTGTAACGTCTACAATAATTGCTACAATATTGAACACACTAAATAAGTTCTTGCCAATTTTAACACAATCAAAACATTAATACCAAAGACATATATATTTTGTGAAATAAAAAAAATATAATAAATTGAAAAGTAACGTCTTTTGACGGGAATGCCACGTAGGTAAAATTAAATAGATTTTATTTATTGCTTATAGCTAGTAATTATATATATAAATATATATATATATATATATATATATAT